GGGGGGCGGTGGGGGGTTACTTACTACTTAGGTTTGAATTTGCGTTTTCAGAGGGGCTTGGAGTGTGAGGTGTGTTGCACGGGGCAGTCGAATCCAGTAGGTGGTTCATTTTGCCTAACCAACAGCTGTGCTCTCAGTTTAGGGCTGTTTCACGAGTGGAGGCTGTGGAGCAACAGCGTATTCAGGGGAAGGGTGTTGTGTGGAAGGGTGTTAAAAAGGGTGAAGCTATGGGACGATAATTGGAGGATATTATTCTTACACGCTGCAGCACCTGCAAGGCTGCAACCAGATCCTTCAGGGCGAGAGTATCAGGCGCACTGGCACTTCACACGGAACAACAACTACGTGAGTGTCTCAAAGACGGCTAAAGGAGGGGTGGTGGCAAGGCATAGGAGCTTGAGCAAAATGGGAAGGGAGTATAGGGGGGGATTGCCAGGGTGTTCAAGCAGATGGACAACAATTTGTTGAAAGTGCTGTCATGTTGCAAAAAGAAAGTTGCACGTGGAGGAGATTGCCGTGGACCTCCGACTGGGAGGTTCTGGTCCTTTGTGCGGGACAGGCAGGTTTGTGCCAGAGGGGCACCGAGGATAGGCGGAGGGCCCATGGGGAGGCAGGGCCTGAAGAGGAAGGTGTAGGTGACTCGGTGCCTGCAAAAAGAAGAATGCAGCAGGCAGGAAGAGGAAGGTGTCGGAAGACAAGGATTTTTGTTGTGGCAGCAAGACCTCATGTCCCAGTGCGGCAGTAGTATGCAGTAGACCTTGTGAAAATCTGCTTCATGGGATGCTCTGGTAGTCGTCCTCTCTTGTCTGTTTGCTACTTGCAGGGTTTGGATACTAGTTTCTTTCAAATTGCCGGGTTACCCCGGAGCTTTTTCGCACGCCCGTGATGTGCCCTCTCTTTCTCGTTGGTTTCTGAGATGAATAGTTAGGATATTTTAAATTTATTTTCTTGATCGTAGGAAATCTCCCATTCGGGCTTTTTCTCCTTTTCGCTTCTTAGCCACGGCCTGTAAGTTTTTTAATTTGTTTTGATCTGACATGCGCATTTATGCATCAAAATAGAGTCTCTCTGTGGCATACTGCGTAGCCACACGAGCCCTGTAGGACCCGTCCCGGACATTCAGCCTAAAAGCCTAAAACTTAGGATCTACAGGCCCCGGTCGTTTCAGCCTGAAACTGAAAAACGAGGGCCTGCAGGCCCTACTCCGTTTCAGCCTAGACCCAGAGTTTTTCCAGCCTGAAACGGAGGGCTATTCTTAGGCCCTGGACTATTTTAGGCCCTCATTTGTTTCGACCTGCCCTAAGATTCAGGCACGAAAACTGGGTTCCGGAACAGGCTATTTCTGGCCTGTTCCCACGCCAGCTCGAGCAGGAGCTGCAGCTGCAGCCCCTGCCTCCCTGCGGCATTATTGGCATTAGCACGAGCAGGAGCTGCAGCTGCAGCCCCTGCCTCCCTTCAGCATTATTGGCAAGAGCAGCCTCCTGGACTGCTCACCCGAGTCAGGAGGCACCCGTGATAGTACATAGGAGCTTCAGGCACTGAACGGGTAGGCAGTTGGAGAGTAGGACGGTAGTCTTCAGATTTCGGCCGCAGCACTCAGGAGGAGCGCTGCAGTAGTCTTCAGTGCTAGGCAGTAGGAGTAGCGCTAGCTGTAGTCATCAGCGCTGGGCGCCATAGCCATAGCTGTAGTCATCAGCGCTGGGCGCCATAGCCATAGCTGTAGTCATCAGCGCTGGGCGCTAGTAGGAGGTAGAGCGTAGAGTTGGGAGAGGTACTGGCGGAGGCCAGTGGTACTTACCTGTGGCGCCATCGCTCCAGCTCCATCTTTGAGGTACCTGCATCAAGGCGCCAACTTCACAGGTTAGTACTGGACTGTGAGAGAGAGAGAGAGAGAGAGAGAGAGAGAGAGACAGAGAGAGAGAGAGAGTTCTTCTTCCTCTTCTTCTAAGTCCACCATCTCTTCTTCCCCTCTCACCACCTGACTTCTCAGTATCAGCGGACTACTACAGAGAGAGAGAGAGTTGTGACATGAGACTTGACGACATTGGATCCAGACTCGACATTGGGATTCAGACATGTTGACGAGGGACTATTTGGGCCTGTGCTGAACACTTGGTGTTGACGACATTCCCATCTTCCCTTCTTCTTCGTCTAACCCCACCTCCTTCGTCTGTGTATGGTTGGGGCTGGCGCAGTCTTCTTGTGTGAAGCGCCAGACCCCTTCACACCATGATGATGATGATGAATGTTCGGGGCTGCATTGCAATATTGATTGTTCGGATCATTGGTATCTAAGTCTTCCGCTGTGCTATYTTATACTTTGTATTGAAAGGTCGGTTCTTGTTCTGGTCTGCACCTATACGGTATGCAACAGTTTGGTATCGGAGCGGACCTCTCATTCAGAGGACCCGCTCAATCAAGTAGCCAGCTTGCGATCTATTGATCACTCATTAGTAACGCAAGTAGGACTTAGTCAAATCTCTGAATTTTTTTTCTTTTCTCGCAACAACTATCTGAAAATTTCTGATATTCGCATTTCGTTCTATCTGAAAATTTCTGATATTAGTAGTTCGTTTTCAAGTAACAAATATCTGAAAATTTCTGATAAATCGCATTTCGTTTTGTCTGAAAATTCCCGATAGTAGCATTTTGTTTCTCTGATATTTCGCATACATAGCTGAAATYTCTGAAGTTAGTATTTCGTTTTCTAGGCAGATTGGGATAACGATAGAAGTGGTCATATTCTCGGAAACCGAAATTATTCTTTTCTGAAAATTGAATTTCCATTCTATCTCGCAAACTTTTTTTTGAAAACCGAATCTTGCGAAGCCTACCAATATTGCATTAGGCATGTTCGGAGGTTGCTATATTCTCAGAAACTGGATTTCGTTCGTTCTGAAAATCGCATCTTTACTCCATTTCGCAATTTTTTTTTTTCAAAATCGCAGTTTGTAAAAGCCAAAACTTTGCGGCACCTAGCCTAGATCTCGTTCATAATACTCTTCTGACATATCCTTCTCACCATAGATCCACAGATATATACAAAAAAAAAAAAA